TTTAAATAAATCAGAATGTAATAAAAGATACTTGGAAAAAGAAACTGAACCAAGTTTTAGTTCTGTGTTGATTTGGGGGGTTCAATGTGTAGTGCCTGAGGATTGTTTTATAAGTATCAGTGTTTCAGTTCAACTAATAAGTATGCATTTATGGTACACTTATCATGTGATGGTCTGATCGGAGACCTTGAAAATGAAACCGCAAGGCCATGCATGCTTAAGGAACAGGAGATTGCGTAACCAGTTAACTTTACAGATTTGGTGTGAGGTCTAAGATACTGTGCATTGTTTAAGAAATCTGCTTTACTTGCACATTGTAAATATTTCAATTGTAAACAAATAGGAATATGTCTGCCGTTACTCTCTGTATTTTAATTCCTGAGGATTCCTTCTTTTTGCTTTACCGTTACAGGGCGATGGGCTGTTCTGTGGATAGCCTTAAGTTTGTAGCCTCGTGGAAAGGTCGGCTGCAAGAAGCAAAGCTGCAGATTAAGGTAGTATAGTAATTTTTGATGCTTATCTAAGTCTAAAAATAATAATATTACCAACTCTGATAAAGACTCTGAAACCCCAATCTCAGAGTCACTTATCTTTTTAGTATAAGATCAGCAGAAATAGATTGTATTTCCAGTGTGAAAAGTCAAAGTGAAGATTTAGGATGAAGCAACTTGGACAAAACAAAATCCTTTCTAATGCAAAAATAAGAATGTTAGGGACACAACATATTTAAAAATGTAACTTTTGGTAAAAAAAAAAAAATGATACAAATCTTGAAGTTCATTTAGGTTTCCTGCTCTAAAACTCAATTCAGTAAATATTAACTACACAATAAAGCATGTATGGTTTATGAAAAATAGACCAAGTCTTGTCCTCAGGGAGTTTACAGTTTGTGTGTTGTAATAGTTTGGTGTTAAATTCAAGCCGTCTGCATTGGTTTTTTTTTTAAAGATTTTATTTATTTGACAGAGAGATAGCAAAAGAGGGAACACAAGCAGGGGGAGTGGGAGAGGGAGAAGCAGGCTCCCCGCTGAGCAGGGAGCCCGACATGAGACTTGATCCCAGCACCCCGGGATCATGACCTGAGCTGAAGGCAGATGCTTACCTGACTGAGCCCCCAGGTGCCCCGAAGCCGTATGTGTTTAAGAAGAAAAAGAGTCAAGCCATCTTTTGCAGCATAGATTTTCTCTGGTAGCTTTCCTACTAAAAATCCATTACTTTTATAATAATAAATAACGGTAGGTAATCATGTGCATGTTAATAAGAAAACCAGGTCACAGTCTGCCGTGGACACCTGTCCCCAGTGATGCCAGCCTTCCTGTGCAGCCCAGCGCGTTCCAGCCATTCTTGTTTCCTGTTCGCACACGGGACCGCCCTCCGCCTTCTGCCCGCTGTGACCCAGCACAGTATGGTACTGGGCTACTCTGCCTGGCCCGCGGTTGGTCTGAGGAGAGGGCAGTGCTCCCCATCTTAAATCCCCACCATCTCTTCCAGGGCATCACATGCAATTCAGTCTTTACATAAATGTGAGACTACAGTTCTTCAACTTACGTAACCGTGGGCAACTGGCTTTTCAGAAGTTCTGTGTACATAGTTGTAGTTCCCAGTTTAACAATCTTCATTTCACTACTGCTTTATGACTTACTACATAGTTTATTTATTGTGTTTATTTGTTGTCTGTCTTAATCCACTGGAGTGTAAGTCCCATGAGAGTAGTCATTTTTTTCATGGTTTCATTGTATCCCAAATACATCAAACGATAATTACATAGTGGGTGCTCACTCAAGCGCTTGTTGGGTTGTTGAGTTTGGGCCTACAACAGGAGAGGCACCGTGGTAGGCTTGTCATGTCAGTAATGGTGTTCTCATATGCCAGAAATATGTTCATTAACGACAAGCTGGATTTTTCTCTTTTGGCTCTCTATAGATAGCTATAAAATTCTCCCCTGAAGCTGAAGGAATCGGAAGGATTTTCTTTCATCCCATGGCATTTTATTTTAACCTGAGCCTCTAACCTGTAAGAACTACCTTCTCTGTCATACACTCTTGCCCAGCTGTTAAGGAAAGGGAGAGGACACATATCATCCAGGAGCCATGCCCTTGACCAGGTTGGGTGGTCTCTGGCAGCTGTGAGCCCCACGGATGGAATGTGGCATCATTCTTCAGATCTACAGTGGTACAAACAGCAAGGGAAATGAGTTACATTCTGAGTCAAAGTGTGTTAATATTTCTGGAACTATGTTGCCTCTGTTCTTACAAAATGGGAATAAAATGATCAACAACCAGAAAACCCCAAGCTTCTATGTTACGTTTTATAGATTGGGGAGAAAAGGCCAACAGTTAGTAAAACAATATTCTAATCTTAGTTCTCCAAAAAATAACCATGTGTCTTTAAGCAATTCATGGAGTAATCTGAGTCCTTGTTGTCTCCTTTATCAATGGATTTAAATAATAACTTTCCTCAGACATTTATTGTAAGGCTCTCTGAAAACATACATGTGCAGGAAGGTATGTATTTTTCATCATTTCTCTTTCAAGCTCTACTACCTTAGACTGAATTCAGCTGCTGACGTGTTCAAGCAAGGCTGTAGTTCCCAAAGCAATCAGTATCTCAGACCCTCCAGACCTACTGAAGAGAACGCGTGTGTATATTGATTTCCAGGTCCCGAAGCGTGGCCCTCTACAGTGTCCTCCCTGCCATCACTTGTCTGTTTGTTCAGCAGCCCTTGTGAAGTGGGGTGCTGGGACATGCTTGCATCAGGCTCCCGATGCGCTCACCACTCAGGTCTCGCCGGGAGCTCCGGAGCTCCGGAGCCCCTTGCCGTCCCGTTTACTGTGAGGCCACCACACACCGAAGGCAAAACGACAAGTCCTCTGCCTGGCCGAATCCGCTTGTTTCCTGCAGTGCCCAGGATGCTGGGAACGCGCGGTCCCCTAGCATTCCGGCACGCTGCGCTTCCCGTGGGACCTGGTGGAGTCCTGTGTCTTCCTTAGGCTTTTCTCTTGGGGATAACATTCTGCTCTGCTCCTCTTGGGCAGTCTCTGTGGCTGGGTGCTTAGCTCAGTGCTTGTATAAGTAGAAGTGAAGCCTGCTCGATTCTTGATTTTCACATTAGGAAATCCATTTGCCTGGAGACTCATTAGATCCTCCAAGCTGTGTTTCAGCAATAAAGGAAATGTTTTGGGCCTGTCTTCTTTCATTCCTTCCTTTAAAGAAGCTACAGTTGAAACAAGGGTAACCTTTGTTGAAACCATTCCAATCCCTGATATGTTACCATTTTATTATATAGACGATAGGGTATTACTTTTTTACATTCTTACGTTGGACATTCTTATGTTGTAGTGTCACTCTCAGGAATGATGAGGTCTTTAAATTCCACCAATGGCCTTTAAATTTCATGATAGGATAGTCCTAGAGGGTGCCGAGAGAAAAGGAGAGATTTGGAAGGTGTCTCTTAGAAGTGGCAGGACTGGGCAGTTTGATGGCCCAGGGGAGGCTGGGGGAGCCCAGGATGTCTGTCAGGCTCTAGATGTGCCAACTACTGAAACAGGACTCCAGGAAATACGGTTTCTCAGCACCCCTCCTTGTTAGAAGGGAACAACAATGCGTTTGTGTCTCAGTTCCCTCCTGTGGTACTTTCAGCAAGAACTGTGTTTACGAATTTCCAGGCGGACGACTTCAGCTTGAAACTTGATGAAATTTCTAGAAGAGGCCTTAAAATGTCTTACCTAGAGAGATTCTACCACTGAAATTAGCAGGTACTCTCTAAATTTTAACATTTTTTCAGGGCTACCATGCTTTATCAACTCTTAAAGTGGCCCGAATATCATCACGTCAGTGCTGTAGTAGAAAAAATATTGAACTTAGGTATTCAGTAATTCTGTTTTTATACCAGCTCTCTCACTGACAAGTTACCTGTCTTTTCTATGGTACAGCAATCTTACTGTAAAATTAGCTATTCAAAATTGTCAAGGCATACTCTACTATTACCTCTTCAGACCTACAGCACTCCCTAAAACCCATTCTCAGCTAAATTCTAGTGAGTCTTCCAACATAAAGTGTTCTCTTGACTAAATTCTATAGCACTTTCATTTAGCATTTGATAAAACCTAAAGGTACTAGGTAATATTTATAAGATTGTTCTGTATTGGGGCGCCGGATGGCTCGGGCAGTTAAGTGTCTGACTCTTGGTTTCGGCTCAGGTCATGATCCTCGGGGTCCTGGGGTTGAGCCCCGCATCAGGCTCCACACTCAACGAGGAATCTGCTTGAGATTCTCCCGTTGCCCCTTCCCTGCTCAGGTGCTCTCTCTCTAAAATAAGTAAAACCTTTAAAAAGAAGAGATTGTTCTGTATTTTCTATCAAGTCCACATTAAGAGACTGTAGATGTGGCTCTGAATACAAATTACTGACTTGACCTTTGTTGACTTTAAATAAACTCAGGGTAGATCAGCAGTGCAGAAACTAAAAGAGTGAACGCTTTTAAAGAAGAAATATGAAACTAATATTATCAAAATAGTTATATTTTTATTTTCATAATTCCCTAAATGTACACTAAGGTTAATCTAGAGAAAGAGATTAACTTTATTATTCTTTCAGCTTTGCACTACATGTCATAGATGTTTTGCATTCAACTTTCTGAGCTTTGTTCTTTTCTTTAGAAAATGATGTCGGAACCCCAAGCAGGGAGCACACAGTCTTCTTTAATTATGCTTTTCTTTCACCCTGTTGGAGAAAGA